ATAATTGAACCTCTTTTAATGCTCAAATTGCTACAGAAAATGATTCTGAAGACTCCAAACCAATGTTATATGAGCCCCAAATGATAGCTTTCTTAAACGATTCTATCATCTACATCAGAATGCATCATACACATAAATTATCACTATCGGAGGGATATCCTACTGTAGATACTGTAGATTACTATAGATTATACGTACAGTATACAGTTGAGATTTCCCAATTATTCCGTAACATTAGTATACAAAGAAATATCCAAAAATAGTTGGCAATTTGCCTACGTCTGTCATTCAAATGGCACTTTAAATATCAAATGACTTTCCACACACCCTCAGTACAGTATGCAAAAGCCTGATTTTTTTTCCTTAATACAGTAGCGATCGGCGTACTTTAACGAATAATGACTTGGAAATTGGACACCGTACGCAGATTATAAGGACAGATTGGTGTTATTGGATTTCTGCTGTATAGTTTGACATGTAATTTGTTCAAGTTGTGTCTATTTTTTACAATTTGCTTTGGTTTCAATACGTCAAAAATTCTCAGACACTACAGTACAGTACAGTAGAACTGTGCTGTACAGTACTGTACACTCATTTTATTGTACTGTACCGTACTACTGTAGTACTGTAGCAGGATGATAAGATAATAATAATAATAATATTGCGGATAAATATTAATTAAGGTTAAGGTAATAATAATAATAATAATAATAATTGAATTCAACAATCATCTTGTTACAGTAGAAGCCTATTGTATCATACACGAGTGGTGAAATGTGCTTGTAAAATCGCTTTCCGAACTACTGGCTCGCAAACGGTACCAGCGAAAAGACATGGCGGACGTTGTAGAAAGGTAAGCGGACACCCTAACATTTTTGATTCTCACTCTTTTCCCAATTGGTTTTATGAGTATGAATCAGTGAAGACCTATTGCAAAGTCAATAAGTCAATCAAAATCAATGAGTGGACTGGCCACTTTATAGCGATACTTTTGTATTTTGAACATTGCAATGTTGAAAACGGTGTCTAAGGCTCACCTTGTCATGGGCGATTTTGCACCAATCAATTCAATCGAGCTTGTTCTCACTTCAAGATATCTACTGTCATGTTTATTTATTTATTTACAACACCATCCATGTTGTTTCTCCCTTGAAATCTACTCTAATCTCTAGGTGGTCGATAGCGACTGTTTATTTTTCCATGTCTTTTTTTCTTGGCGTGTCTATTTGACAAAGTTGAGCGATTCTGCATGGATGAGTGTTCTAAGGCCATGTTTTTTTCAACCTTTTGATCTCTTCCGTTGTTGGCCATCAACATGATTTGCCTATTTGCATAAAACGAAAGAAAGATACTCAAAATGAACTTTCTACTATTTCATGGATGTTACAGATACTCAAATGAGCTTTCTACTATTTCATGGATGTTACAGATACTCACATGAACTTTCTACTATTTCATGGATGTTACAGATACTCATATGAACTTTCTACTATTTCATGGATGTTACAGATACTCATATGAACTTTCTACTATTTCATGGATGTTACAGATACTCATATGAACTTTCTACTATTTCATGGATGTTACAGATACTCCAATGAACTTTCAACTATTGCATGGATTTTAGAGTACAATCTTTGTACAGTATATCAACGTAATCATTCCAAAATAATCCTACCATCAAACGAAATAAAAATTGAGGGTTGAAACTACCCTTTATCTTACATGATTATCGTACAATATAGCATGCACTTATTCAAAACGCATCGTGCTACTATAGAAAGGAAATTAGCATTGGAGGATAATCTCATGACATAGTCTTCATTTTAGACTGCTTCAATGCAACAGTCTACTTTTAAAATAGTTCTCTAGTCATACTTTATCCAATTCATCATTTCAGATAGGATTTATCATCATAACGGCTAACGATCTTTCTCGCTATAAATGACTTCAAAAAATTCACATCTCAACCAAACCACATAAAACTCCTTTTCCTTTGCTTAGTATATTGAATAAACAAATTGTGCCCATTCCTACTTCTAATCATACATTGAGTTCCCCCCCCCCCAAAAAAAATGATAGTTGACGTAGGCAATTTGATGTTGTCCAATTCCTGCACGCCTTTAATCTCAATCAGAAATCTGTCAACAAAAATACAGTTTCCCCGTCTAGCCTTTTAACTGTTATTGATTTATATAATTAGACTGTAATTGCAGAACTAATAGGTAAATCACACCAGCTATACTAATATAGCGAGCGACTTGTCTCGATACCAGTTTCCTGCGTGACTAAATACGACCATTTAGCCTACGTTGAAAATCGATCTTTTATCAATACTGTACCTTGTTCAATTTCCCAAGATTATAACGGACTGTGTTATCGCCTATTTCTATAAATGCTTAAGTCTACGTACACCCAATGTGAACAAAGTTCAATACCTTAGATCACAATTACTGGTAATCACTATCGTATTAGATACTACGCAACGGAAACGCGTACGTTAATTGATTATTAGTTGCCCTACAAATCTTGCCATCGTCATACATATACCAATAGACTTAAGGATGCATAACGCTAGTGTACTGTACAAGTAAAATCCTTTCCCGTGACTGGATAAGAAGTTCATCATTTTAACTAGAAATCCAAAAGCCCACAATCTCACCCAAGTCCTTGATAGGCTCGTATACAAGCCGTATGGGCGTCACTAAATTATTGATGCACATTCAACTTCTGTAGACTATAGCGGTTGCTTGCAATGATTGTTGGTAGATTCAAAAAATCTTCTTGTTGTCCATGTTATACAATAGATAACTACATTTCAATTCAAAAATCCAGTAAGAACTTTATCACATACTAGAATTGCTGTTAGCTTTCTTTCAAAATGTGATAGTTACTGTACTGTACTACAGTATCGTTTAAAAAAAGTCCACTATTCAAGTATACTATAGTTCAAGCTTACTGCATGTATGCAGTACATATTACATAGGTTCCAATTGGATATTCCTTAGCAATGCTTATAATTATCTTTACAGTTACAGCTCGGTTGTAATTCGTCTTTGCTTGCTATAAATATTGTACACTGCCTTGCTGATGTAGTAATACTAGAATTTTATTAACTTTGCTGAGTTTTCGTTCTCATAATCAGTACGCGTACGAGTATATCCATGATATCACTATTGTTGTACTTTTTTAGAATTCTATCAATCAATTCAGTTATGTAGAATTTAGTTTAATTTGCCTTGTATTTATACTGTGCAAGTAACGAATGAATTATCTTGCTGAAGGTCTTCATTAAACTTTAAATATCTACACTATGATATCTTAGAACGTCATCTTTGATCCTGTTCATATAGGCTCATTATAGTTTTTACCTTATCCTAAAGTTGTATAATAGCGACACGTTTAGTTTACCACCTTCAATCCATCAGTAATCAAATTGGTCTTTATCATGCGGTAATTCATTATTTCGACACTGGAAATGAACGCTACTAAGTAGCTGAAATTTTCCTACAGTGTTACATCAGCATCAGTAATTACTGTGCAATGTTGCACACATTCTAGTATGCTAACATGACATTAAATTTATAATTATATGAGACAGTACTTTCACAAGGCATGCCTACGTTAGCCCAATCTCCTTACCACTTACATACTACACGTATTCTTCTGGCATTCCACTTACTGTACACCCAACTCTAATTTGATAATTGCTATATTACAATTTGAAAACGACGCAATAAAATTTATTCAAATTTTGGGTGATCATTAAATTTAGCTATTCGTACGAAGATATAGAAGCTATAAGCAAGTTCTTACTAGAAAGATGTCGTCATCGTCCCAAAATTGGCATCATTTGTGGCTCAGGATTAGGCGGATTAGCTGATACACTACAAGAGCAAGAAGCATTTCCTTATGAAAGTATTCCAAAATTTCCAGTCTCTACAGGTATAAATACCCCTAAAATTTAGACGATATGTACAACCATTGTAATTTTTGAACCTAATATTTCATATGAAAATCTATTACTGTCCTTTCGCAATCTCTATTAGCAGATTCTTTAGTTAAAATAAGATATTACTTGTTGGCAAGCTATGATCATTCATTACTACAGCATAATTTTCTAATGAATAATAATAATTTGCCTCATTCTATAAACATATCGGAGATTAGTTTATAAAATTCGATCCATAATGATTAGCTAATGATTTCTCTTTTAGTTAGTGGCCACAAAGGGCGATTGGTATTTGGAGTTTTGAGTGGTAAGGCTGTCGTTTGTATGCAAGGACGATTTCACATGTATGAAGGTTATTCAATGGCAAAGGTATCAATCTCGATTAGCGCTCGTCTCTACAATTATACATCATTTTTGCCTCACCTATATCTATTCAGAATACGTATTACTATGTTTTGTCAATCCTAATTATATTTCATGCTATAGTGCGGCCAAATTCGAATAAGAGCCAGTGCTAATATTGGCTTGCGCCTATACAATAGCTGACGGAGACGTATTGCTAACTAAGATATATTCATCATCTACCTATTGACTTAGGTCACTTTGCCAGTAAGGGTAATGAAGCTACTTGGTGTTGAAACAATGTTAGTAACAAATGCTGCAGGTGGCGTTAATCAAGATTATGTCCCAGGCGACATTATGATCATAAAGGATCATATCAATTTTCCTGGATTATGCGGTAATAATCCTCTGCGAGGCCCTAACAATGAAAAGTAGGTTTTAGCATCTAGCATTAGTTTGAAGCTGACGATATACCAGGATCACTGAAAATTTTATGACGTCTATATGAACATACTTTTATTGTACGTATTAGATTCGGTCCACGTTTTCCAGCGATGAATGATGCCTATAATGCCAAACTTCGTGCATCTTTAAGAGCTGCTGCAAAACTGTGCGGACTCTCTGATCATATGAAAGAAGGAGTATACGCATACCTTGGGGGACCAGCATACGAAACAGTTGCAGAATTACGATTTCTTAAAGCAATTGGTGTAGATGCTGTTGGAATGAGTACTGCACCTGAGGTAATCGTCGCCCGTCATTGTGGCATGAAGGTGTGTGGCTTATCCTTAATATCGAACAAGGGGATTATGGAATACGATCCATCGTTAGTGATAGACCATAGTGAAGTTCTCGAAGCAGGAAGAGTGAGAGCTGCTGATATTCAGTCATTAGTATCCAATCTTGTTAAACTTATAGATGAATAAGAGATAAAAAATTGTTCAATCTATCTGCAAATTGTTACTAGTTTGTTTTATGGAGCACGTATCTTTAAAGCTGTGACGGCTTTCTTTCGATCAATTACACACAAAAAACTTCACGGAATTCTTATTACGGTATAAAGAAAAGAATTGCAATACTTTTAATAATTTTAGTGTATAATTATTGTGCTGGACAATTGTTTGTAACTTGTATATGAAAATTTTTACAACGTTCGTAGATGTATACCAAAAAATTGTCACTGTGAGTAGGAACGAATTTATGCTTTAGCTTGCTAATAGTAGTTTATTAAGGATTACACTCTGCATTCATTAAGTGCCCCAAGATGACTACGGTTTTAAGTGTTGTCTTGCTTCTTTTACGTGGACTTATATAAACAATACTAAAATAAAGTTTTAATATTTGGGGATATCGCTGGGCGATAAATTATTAACTTACCTCTTTAAATATCATTATTATGATGTAGTACAAAAAGCATCATAACGCTACTACTTGAGCAATAACCAAGCTACTATTTTTAGCAAATGACGACCACAATGACCTCAGTACATTGATAGAAGAGATTCCAATTTATAGTTCGATGCTTATCTTAAAATACTTTACTCTTTTAATGATCGCATTTATTGTACTTTTATTGCAGCAGAGTACTGCTAGTTCAGTTATATTTTATGCACCAATGCTTATATTGAAATATTTTATTCTTTCAATATAGATGATCGAATTTGTAGTGCTTATTGCAGCACGGTGTATTCCTAGTCCAATTCCATATATTATGTTACATGTTATAAGCTATGCTTATCTTCAATACTTTATTCTTTCAACGTGGATGATCGCGATTACTATGCTTGTATTGCAGCACGACACTCCTAGTCCAATCCTACTATACTTTATAAATGTAAGCTTACCTTCAAGTGCTTTATTCTTTCATCGTGGATGATTTTAATCACTGTACTTTTATTATGGCGGGATATTCCTAATCCAATTATAGATTTTGTAAATGTAGGCAGACGCTTGACTTTCAATATTGTATTCTTTTAATATTGATAATAGCAATTAGCGTACTCCTAGTCCAATTCTCCAATGATGCAGTCAGAGCCAACAAATTTGCTGAAAGTGATGCTGATTGTGTAAGATGATCTGTATAAGAAATGAACAACTAGAAAGAAATCTAGTATCAATTCGTATTTGAGAGACTGCAGACGATAGTACTACCCTGGAAAAGCACCAATTTGATCGTAGTCCTTCTATATTGATTAATTAATTCTAATTCGATAACCAAGGCATTTTGGCAAAGCAGCAAGTTGCTATTACTATAGTGTAGCATACTTTACTTCATGCTCTATAGAATCTCTACAAACTAGCATTATAGTCTAGAACACTATCCTAATTACTCCATGTGATGACGTAAGTCTTCCAAAGTAGTCATTACTCTAACTAGAATGTAGATACTACACTCGGTGTTGTATAGAGTCTCTACAATCTAGAGGAATTATAGTTTGATAACTTGCTTAGTTAGCTCGACAGTCCTGTAGATTTATTTCGAGACCCAACGGATTTAATTTGATTTGATTAGGATTCATTTTAATTTATTTATTGACAACTCGATTCCTTGAAGATCGGAAACTATAGCAAGCGTAAGTATCAACTCATTATACTATATACTACAATCTACACTACCCAAGATATTCTGGACTACTACGATCTGCATGGTATGGACACATACCATGCAGATGGTGCGTGAATTGAAGAAAAGCAAAACAGGTAAAGCAAAGGGCTAAACTTGGGCCAGGAATATTACACATTTTAAGCATCGTGGCTACTCGAAGATTAGTCATTCCATCAACGTTGAGATGCTTTAATGAATGTGCCGATATCATCTACCCATTTGAACATCTTGATCTCAATTTGAACACGTATCGCAGTTTTGTTGTTCAACTTTTTTTATACCATGCGCGAAGGTGTATTTCTAGGTTAAAGTTAGGTATCGTTCTCTTAGTTTCTATCCAATGCTTCGTATCTGCAATGATTGGATCGACTTTTAGCCATGGACTACTAGAAGAAGACTTCTAGTATCATAGCTTAGCAAGTTTACTCTATTACAATGCTACTTGATGCGTGTAAAATAGGCATGGAGCTAGTACACGCTTAGTATCCACTAAAAATATTTGTTGCTTCTCCACATCTAGAATATAAAGTATAGAACATACGAGTATATCATTGCAGTGATTGACGTAATTTGACTATTTTTGCCATAATCAAGTTATCTTTCATGTGCAACTTGCGGCTGTTGTATAGCATTTGTATCCAGCTTTCAATCTTAAAAGAAGAAAAAGAAGCATCGTGCTTCAACATGCTCAACGTTATATTAAGCTATTTTACTCAACAATATCAACAACAGCAACTACGCCATCAGTCTTATGTACCACGATAATGTATTTCCAGATTATAGTTTTTGAATCCTTCGTTCGCTTTCGCTCAATACCTACTATATTAAACTGATTTATTGAATTAACTATATTCATATATCTATCGATACAATTTTATTGGTGTACGACACTTACATGAAGCTAATACAAGTTTAGTATTGACCAATAGTAGTTGCTATCCAATCAACACTTACGATATACATACAAGTATTAAAATTGCCATGATAAAAATAATCCTACTGTTAACTTCATCATCCTGATTCCATTTTATCTACCGTACACAACCTTAAGAATCAAGGCAATTAATTACTCAATTACTATTATCTTTAGGGACTATTTCTCTGGTCAATTACCCGAACCAAGAACGAATCTTTGATTGACCGGTTTGGTCTGAAATTAATACTTCGATTAATTATTGGCCTTTAAAGCGGAAATTGGAATAACTTATAACGTATACATATATCCTTCATCCATTAGTTAAATACAAAATTGTTAGGCAGAGTTTTAAATTGTAACAGGTTATTGACCAAGCTAAAGCAAGCTCTGTGACGAAAGAAGATCATGACCTGCTTTAAGATATTATATTTGACTTACCTAAGTCCTACACTACGTGCCTTTATTTACATACCATTACTTCTATTTGGTTCAATCTGGTGTGCAGCAGTTCCTCCCTTACCAAGTTACTTCTCCAACAAAAAGAATTTTATTAACGTCTATTTTGCAAAGCTATCATTTGCATGGACAGCTTCATTCTTATCAGTAGTCGTTTTGCTATCCTCGTATGTTTATACAAACTGTAATATAAAACGAGTAGCAAGGCATTGTTGTCGAATTGTAGTTGCAACTGTAGCTTGGTTTGGATTAACATCAATCTTCGATCTTATTCGTAGTGCTACCGGAGATTGTACTATTCCAGAATATCAGGCAATTGATACCTGCTATAAACATGGTGGAAACTGGACTGGTTTCGATACATCAGGCCACTGTTTCGTTATGACATATTTTAGCTTCTTAATATGCGAAGAAGTTCGCATATTATGTAATTGGAAAGCATTACTGGATAAACTAGTACCCTCCAATGAGCGCAACCCAAGTGGATCTACTTTGCGAAAAAAAAATCTTATGTTTATTACATATGTTCTAGACATAGTTGGATTGGTTTCTTGCATCCTGTTAATCATTTGGGATTTTGTTCTGATATGTACGATCGCTTACCACCATACTATCTTCGAAAAATGGGCTGGTGGAGGCATCGGTATTATCGTTTGGTTTATCACTTACAAGAAATGGTATATCATTGCTATGTCACCTACTTTACCTGGAGCAGGTCCTTACTATAGTATTTTATCTCAAATACCAAAATGAAAATCTCGATAACCTTTGAACTAGGAAATTTTAATGCTATCTAAGGCATTAACTTAAAGTTGAACGTATAAGCTTAAATGAATAGCAGCAGCTCATCGCCTCTGATTAGACCCAAAATTGTATTGATTCATAACCGAGCATTTTACGTTAGTCAACCAATCTATCCTGACTAAATTCAATGTAATCATAAATTAAACCTACAGTGGTTCTCGAATTTAATTGAGCAAAGTGTTGGCAATATTTATATTTGTACCTGCAGAATATTCTTAATACCTATATTTCTGGGCATAGATAGAGTGGTCCGAAATGGATTATTTAAAATTTCAAAATAAAAGTTTCTCATTAATTTACTAGTAATTAAGCCTTATTGGTATTACAGCGCCATAATGCAGTTTTGGACTAATTACATTCATTGCTTATCTTATTAAATATAATTTAAAAATATAATACTGTGAATTTGCTATATGATTTTTCTCAAGTTTATAATTGGTATGAATTTACAGTACTTTGCAATTTTTAAGAATATAACGTCGTTTAGTTTTATACAGGAGCTTTAAATAGCAAATGCATCGCAATAATTTTTAATGAAGTTTGATTTATCAGGTCTAAAAAGCTTCTAAAATGGTCATTTTTTATGTGCTTACTATCAATGTTCGTATCTTAAACTAATCATATAACAGCATTTCCTATTAATTATATGAAATTGTACATGCCTCTGACCCAACTGAAAACCTATTTATGTTATGAATGTTTCAAATTTGGAATAAATGCTAGCTAGCATCGACAATTTATTAATGTAGTACATTTATCCTATAACTTGTGATAAATTAATTGTGATTACTACTATTAATTTCAGCTTTTTAAGTACGTAATAGTACACCGTACATTGTAATTATACATTAATTGAGGTATTTCCGTTACCATCTACTTAGATTTATCAACTACTAAGATAATACGATTTATTCTACACGAATAAGATAAATTTTGAACGCTGAAACTTAAGCCGCTATCTTATGAATCTATAGTATACACTTAATGTACTGTACCAATTTCAACCACTGCAGTTACAGTGGCCACGATTTGTATCTTTCAGATTCTTAATTTCAAATTGACCTATCTACAATTCCATCAGCTCTACAACTGAAAGGTACAACAAGAGTAACAGTGATACTTTGTGATGATGTGCTATCACCTTATAGCCGCATCATTATATCAACCATTTTATTTAATTTAAGTACAAGTAGTCAAGGTATATCAAAATTAATTACTAGTGGAAACGGAAAAGTGCTAATAAATTTAATATTAATTTTATTATATTACAGCATAAGTGAACGAAGTGTATTAGAAATAATTTCGAGAGGTTAAACAGAAATACCAATAAAAATATCTTCATATTACTTTTATTTTATAGTCCCATAACGTTGTCTTAACTTATTTATAGGATTATAGCAATACTTTAATTATAAATCAGACACCAAACTTAAAAATCCAAGTATACTAGCTATGGATATGATATTACCTCTCTCATATAAGACTTGTATTACTTTGCAACTATTCTAACCGTTAAGCAGAGTTCACAAGCATTTAATATTGTGCCTATAAAAAAGATTTGTGACATTATTTATTAAAAAAATATTCATTTATTAAAAATATTACAGTTGATACTATCTCGTATATTAACATTATACATGATTTATTTATTTTTTAAAATTTCTTTGCTATAGTAGTAGGATTTGCATCTTAACCTTCAGTAGCTAACAAATCGTAGGTCAATAGTAGTTACGTGGAGTATGCCTACACCTTCAAGTCAATGTTTTAATACCAGCGATCGCAACCATTATTTTAATTTTCGATCATTACTATTAGCAGAATATAAAACAAAATGCTATCCCTTTTTCATGTCTATATTACGAGAGGGTAGTAGTAGTTATAAAAAATGATTCAAGTTAAAAAAAATTACTCAGCAATCAAAAACTTTCAGTATTGAGACTGCTTGAAATTCCGTTACAGCGGTAAATTGCAGTAACACCAATCAAGATGCAGATGTACCAAATATCTTTTTTTGAATCATTTAATGATTCATCCTAATCTATACGGTAATTAGTAAATACAACTCAATTTTTTATATTATGAAGTATCTGTATATGAATATTCTTCTGAATATGAAAATATATTGTGTAGAACCTTTTCGAGTTATTGTAATACAAACGTATATAATTAGACCTACGATTTATCAAATTTATTATAACGCTCCTATCTATCGTTTATGCGCTAGAACGTGGTTCGTATTTAATATGCAAATAATGGAGACTTATAGATATGAGTCAATAGAATTATATGCAATCTAATCTATAAGATTAATAAAACTTCATAATGATTTTATCAACAATTATTGTTTATTTTAACCAAAGTTTGTTCTAGACGAGCTAATTATACGCTACGAATAGATCATGATCGTTAACAATTATGCTTATTCACCTGCTCCAAATATAACTATAAATAGAATTATTTGAATATCGATCGGATACTATAATAAAATACAAAATTCCAAGGATACAGATTCCATATAATCAAAAATTCTCTCTGCAAGTAAGCGCTAATTTTTGTTAGCTTAAACTTTGTTGTATAAATGATTGCTGTGTAGTAACTAGGTAGTTTATATTACATTAAATATCTACGTATACGAACATGAGTACTAAAAATACTGGTACTGAAGAGTCCATTCCAGTTGATAATTATATTTAATTAAAGCGTGACTAGATTGAAATAAGGTGCGGAAATGGTCACGCTTGGTCCATCATTTATCATTATTTCATGCTTAATTATATATCGTACTAGTAACAATTCATTAACAACATCATTTCATCAAAATAGACGGACAAAAATAGCCAATTATAATGGCATATTGATTAGGTCAGGAAAGTAAAATGTTGATGCAAGTTGGTCATAAATTAATTTGGTCAATAACAGGTGTAAAATTTAGTTAATCTTACTTCTTATTCTATTCAAGGCATGATGTAAAACTATGTTAGCCTCAAATTAAATAGATGATAACATTTAAAGTTATCAATTAAATATTAAAGAGGCCAAATCATGGAAATTACCTATTAATAGTATTAAATGAATGGATTTTAATTAGAATAGTATTCCATTTTACTTGATATTTATAGCTCTGCGTTATTGATACTATGTAAAAATTGTGTTCTAAGATAAATGAACTGATGTACCGGGTAATAATCTAAATTAATCATCATACACGAAGAGAATCAATAATTTTAATTTTTACCTACTATTGGTAAATAAATGAATCAACTCCAGCTCCTGTAGCATTTATCTATCGAAAAAATATCATTAAATAGCTAGAAATATTCATCACCTCTATTTTAATCATTATATTCAGGACAATAGATTATTTAACTAAATAGATTTTGAAAATAATTCTGTTCTATTGTAAATGGGCAGCTAATTCGAAATTGGATTCCGGTTGTAGTGTATTTACTTCGTCCGAATTATCCTATATCATCAATTTATTTCCGTAAATAACATAGGTTGCGGTTATAAAACATTTTCTATATTGAGTTTCTTTCTAAAATCAGTGACGTTTGTTTACTTAAAATTCCTCTCTTAGCAAACCTAATAGCAAAGACCGTCATTATAGAAAGTTTATCGATTATCATTTTTGTCAACCCTTATAGACTCCCCGTTTCAATAAAACTACATTTCATTACAACCCTAAGTCAACATCATCTAAATTAATGAAATGTTTTTTTTAAAATCAATTTGTTCAAGATATACGATATCAATATAATACCATCATTTAAACATTTTAATATCTTAATTAAGGATAATACGTAGCCATTATGTTTTATATTTAAAAATTTTATGTAGAGATCATCTGTCTCGAATAACTTGCAAGGAAGCCCTTATATGATCCATTTTTCTTACCTACTCTAACTAACAGATGAAATAAACGTGTCCTTTTTAACATGTCAAAAAGTTTCATATACGAGCCATTATGTCCTCTTTTTAAGAAGAAATAGAGCGATGTTGCTTGCTTACCGTTGTAGTGTGATAATTTACTATAATAAAGTAAATGTTTTTTTAATGACTTTTGCGATACTTGAGACACTTTAATTAGGTTCAAATACCGTTTAAAAAGATTGACAGAGCTGATACACATAGGCGGCATAGCTCTTATTTTCCTTACTCAATAAAAAATTGTAGGTATCCGTAACTCTGCAAGTATGATAGCATTCCAAGTCACGGAATTAATTTCTTTAGCTAACCAAATCTTTGTCACTATCATATTCTTATCACAGGTTGAAAATATGCACTGGCATAGGCTTTCTTCGTTGAACTAGGAGATGTTTGTACAATAGACTAATACAGACTTACTTTAATCTTTCTATGAAGTTCATAATCAATTTTTATTAGTGTAGCAGATCAGAAAACTAGTCCTGATAAAATTTATTCTTGTGCTCGATTAGCCAAGAATTTTGTAGTGATTCTATATACAGAATGTATAGCATACATCCGCATGTAGAAAGAAGACGATAATCTGCATATAACTTCTATATAATTAATCTTTAGATTATAAATAATGCCAGCTGCTTATAAAATATAGATTTCTATTTAAGCTATGGTACTCCCATAGAGCCTGTATAAGGTATTTTACCTATAACCTATACACATTATCTACGACTTTTCTGATTCCTAATAAACAGCATAAACATAGTGTCATATTTTGAATATCCGGATATATAACTTGCCATTATAATTTCACATCCTCTCGCATTTGTAAGAAATCGAATTTACAACGGATTTTATCTATAACCAAAATATTCATTTAAAACGTGTAGAAAAGATATACTTTCATATCTACCGATATATTCATGATGCGTGATATAATAAATACGCCGCTGAGATTCACTTTAATAGAAAATTAATTTGAAAGATGATTGAATTAAATATAATAAATATCAATCACTTACTTAAATACG